CCCTTTTTTCTTATTTCTTTCTCTCTCATTCTCGCACGTTTACCTCCCCACTTATAAACGTGTATACTACGTGCCCATTATGGGACTTCTAAAATCCACCGTCACGACGACGACTACGACGAGGACGAGGACGAGGACGAGAACGAGGACGAGGACGACGGAATGTTAGGCAAAGGGTGAAGCCAAACGCGAATCACAGAAACGTGGGAACCTTTGCCAGGTGATCCCTTGCACGCCCTTCTGGCCCACGAACAGCACGAACTTTTGCGAGCTTAAGGTTGACGACGATACGACGATACGACGACTAAGGGAAGGGGCAGGGTGAAAGGGAAGATGAAGAGGAATCTCGATGCGGAAGGGTACAAGTAAAAATAAGTATGGTAATACCACTCGTTGTTTCGCAACTACTTCGTGTCTACCTCACTTTGCAAAACTGGATGATTACTAGGGAATACTATGAATCAGGAATAAGTACACATCTTCTTCTGACCCAAACCAATCTTCGGTTTAATGGCTCCCTATAATAGTTTCTTTTTTGGATTTCTATAAATTCTAATAATTTCATTTTATTTACTGAAAATTGTATTAGCGTGAGTAATATATAAGTGAACATTAGACTTTCAATTCATAAACCCAAATGGCTATATGGAAAGAATGGTTCGCTTTCGTTACGAAAATACAGTCTTTTTAAAAATGAATTTGTTTGGCAATCAAAATAACAAACAGAATTGTGGGTTTACCTGCTTAATATCATTTTCTGAGTAACACATAAGCACTTTATTAAGTTCGTGACATAATTGAAGTGAATGGGATATGTTTGACATACAATCGGAGTTTATATGTCGAATAATATATTAGAGTTATTAATTATAGTTACGTTTTATAAAAATCGTAATAAACAAAGTATTTACGACTACTAGAAAATAATTAAATATTCTTATCATTTGTCTAACACACACATTGAAATTATTTCCTTTTCCATGGAACACCCTATGAAAAGGAGTTATATTTTCAACAGAATACGAACGATTTCCCTAATATTCCAGATGTAAACCATACGACCTCCCCTAACGAACAACAGGCCTGTTATTTTTTAAGGAAACCATTTGTTTCGTGTTAATAAAAATGAGAAATTGATGATGTATACTAGAACGGATTTTCGCTTTGAAAAAATTGCTTTTTCCACTTGTTTTCTTTTTACCAAAACCGTGGGAGTTTTTCTTTGATATTGAAAGAAAAATGGGAAGTAATTATAGAGATACTATGGGATATAGAATGAGTAGGAGGGTGAATTTAGGCGTGTCATAAACGGAAGCAAGATCCTTAGGATTGAAGGATAATGTTTCCTTCCTGTGAAATCTACGGGAAGATCGGCGTGGGTGCCAACAACTTAGTGCAGGTGCCATCCTGGGATCGAAGAAGGAAGATGAAAGATCCTTTAACGGGGGTGAGAACTTCGAATCGAAACCTCGAATTTATTTCGCTTTCTCGAGCACTCTTTTGAGAGGGAAGAAGAGAGAGAGAGAGAGAGAGAGAGAGAGAGAGAGAGAGAGAGAGAGAAAAAGGAATAGGAAAAGAAAGAGCTGGCTTTATGGTCAAACCAACAACGCGTAAACATTCAAAATTCTCAGAATCCTTTGCTCTTCTTCTTTTCATTTTCTCTTCTCTTTTACTCCTTCCCTTTTTTCCTTCCACCTAGTGTTTCATCTTATTCATCTCTTCGTGATGTTAATAAAAAGGACCATCCTCCCGCTATAAAAGGGCAGAAAAAAGGTATGGAAAGTGACGCTGTAAAAGAGTCCTTGGCGATTTGTTGTAAGAGTGAAACGGTATTTTCAAAGAATGTGAGCTTCACAATTGTCTCTATTTCGTAAAACCGTATCAATCGATCGTTTCAACTTCCTCTTCCTACTTTTTTTTTCTATTGACGTTAAGGAATTCGACAAACATTTCTGAACACATTCGAGAAAGGATTCTATTCTCTTTAAAAGCAGATGTGTGGTCGGTATTACGATTATAACGGTACGCATGTTTATGTGGATCTTGATCTGACGTAGTTCAAGGGGGGTTTGATCAAGTTGAGGAACTCGTAATAAAAAGAAGAAGAAGAAAAAAGAAATGTTGAATTCAAGGTCGACTGTTTTTCTTTAAAGCTAGCCACTCGTTACCCTCCAGGGACTTCCGAGTTTCGAACTGGATGCTCGCAGATGCAAGATGCTATAAAAAGAAGAGAAAAGAAAGAAGAAGAAAAAGAGGAAGAGGGAATAGGGAGAGAAATGTGAAAGACAGAGATAGAGAGAGGAAGTTTTGGATACTCTACTTGTATTGCTTATAGCTGCTTTTGCAGAGACCACGCAATAATATACTAGTCCCATACAGGGACAAAGCCACAGTTCAACACGATAAATTATACATTTACCGATCTTTGGTAGGTTTCCCAAATGAAACCGTAAAAAATTTACTACCATGATGGACGTTTTCTTTAGACTAAACCTAACGGGACTCGTTTTCAATAAAATACAAAATATTTTCAAAAAACGTACAATATATGTTGACAATCAATATTAAATAAATAAATTTAAATATTTGCACAAGTTATTTGTTTGAAAAAAAATTATTACTCGTGGATTTATTTTTCCTATTTAATTAAAACGTCCGATTTTAATTATATATCGTAAATAATGATCATTAAAATCTACTAATCTATTATTTATTATCAATATTGTTTTCTCTCTGAACGCGGCAGCTGCTAATGAACGAATTTATCCGATGCTTATCGAAATAAATGGTATTATTATATCAAACGGTATTTAAAGTAAATGAAAATTCAAAAGAAATTGTACGTCTTTTGAAATTTGTCGGATTATTTCGTTCACGAACACTGGAACAACACCCTGTTCCTATCGTTTATCGCGGATCTCGAGAATCATGGCGTGTTATTGTAATCGTGTAATCATGGTACGGTATGTTGACCAAACGAATCGGAAGTGATTTATCCGATAATCTCATCTTGTTAACTCACAAATCTTGATTTTTCAAGTTTACGTCTGGCACTTTGACTTTTATTAGATTTGCATCTACATCTGCTCGATTCTCATACTCCTAAGCTTTTTCTTTATTTTTTTTTTTCACGAGTAGTATTAATGCTAAACTTTTTAAAGTCTTCATGAAACAGCTGTTTTATTTTTAAGCACTTATCAAGTATTTTATTGAATGTTCGGTAAATAAATGTTGATCTTCGAATTTTTTAAAATTACTCTAAACGATTGTTGTGAAATATTATTTTATATTTTCTACACGATTTAAAAATTTATCCACACTCAAACTGTTCAAATAAATCAATGCTTGCTAAAAAAACGAAATTTTATTTTATTTTTCCGACGAGTTCGAAAAAAAAAGACACAATCGTTAACAAATGACAACGTTAGTTTTCTTACGGTATTTTCCGTCTATACTATAATAGTCATCATTTTCGTACCATTTTTTACCTGCTTACATAGCACAAAGAAATCATCGTAAAAAGACGAACTACAGAGTTTTTATTTTATAGCATCGACCTTAAAAACATTTGTTGAGTATCGAAAAGTAAGCATTTTTTTTTTAACGAAGTGATCATGGCAAGCCATAAAACTTTATCCGTCTATTCAAAAATCAGATAATTATTGATCTTCTCAACAAAGAAAAAGTTCTCTCTCAATGAACATTTTATTGCTTATCAGTCTTTTAACCTTACTTTCTTACACATGCTCATAGAATACAATGCATTAATATTTACACATAATCGGTGTATTATTTTTACAATAGATTTTTTTTTTTTTTACGGAGTTTTAGATCATGCACAAGCATAACACCGATCAGTCTAAAACTTTTCTTAATTGTCCTTCAAAAATTTAATATTTTTGTCATCGTTTTGTATCAGATTGGAACTTGTAAAAATAGTACTACAAAATAAGTACAATGATTGTAATGAAAAATATTTATTAATACAATTAAAACAACAGGTAACCTAATTTTTAATTTATTCGTACATTTCTTAAAAGGAGGACAAAAGTTGCGTGCTCACGATGTAAAGAAAGAAAGAAAGAAAGAAAGAAAGAAAGAAAGAAAGAAACGTGTATTATCGGTGCGGATACACACGACGTCCTCCTAGCGGTGTGTATTTTTTTCGTTCAAACAAATGTTTAAACGTTGTAAGAGAATTCCCACAGGAGACCCCTTTTTTACCTCGCGTGCATTCGTGCACATTGCGTTCGGATCGCATTGCGCACGCTGGCCACACTTATGACGTGCGCACATTCACCCATACGTTGTTACAAGGGGCAAACGTGTGTGTGCCCTTCTCTATCAGATGATTTTCTATTGCGTGTCTTTACGCTTTGCCGCTCCTATACCTTATGCATGCTTTCCATTACTCTTCCATTTTTATTTATTTTTTTTTTAAATAAATTCTATTAATTTTTAGTAGTTTTTTTTAATAGTACAACATAAACACAAAAACATATTTATAATTTAATTAATATTAATTTTTCAAATGGATGACACATTTTAGTGTTATTATAAATAATTACATATATAACTAAATATATATTTAAATTATAATTAGATTATATATATTAACTATATATATAACTGAATATTAAAGTTATTATAAAGAATTATAACAATGTATGTTTACGATTTTTATCTTTAAAAAGATTTATTTAAAAAAAAATATATATATATTTTTAATATAGAAATTATGTTCAATGTTTTTTATTATTTTTATTGAAAAAAAAAAAAAAAGGAAAGCTATAATAGAGCTTATGTACTATGACGAATTGGATATACCCCTGGAGGACGGCGTGAATTCCCACACATCAACAGGTCTCAGGAGGACCGAAAGTCTCCCCACTCTTAGTGTACCCTCTCCCCAACTCCTGAGGAAAACCTCACCCCACTCCTTGAGCCTGTGAGTGCATCGGCATGCGGTCTTCCAAATCGAAACGTCAAACAGTTACCCTGAAATATCCTAAGCGAGAAGTTGTTCTGTTTAGTTTCGAAAGATTCTTATTCTTCACCTGAAAACAACTTCGACAAATTACTTAATCAAAATGTGGAAATATTTTTCTCGCTTAAAATTCAAAGAATAATAATACTGTCTGTGTGATGTGTGAGTGCTCGTACAATGTATCATTAAAATCGAGAATAAGTGCAATAACAAAAGCGTTGCACTCTACTCGAATGAACAATCAAAATATTCGATTGAAATAGTGTTGTGTGATTTTGAGTTTCACATATTTTTCATAAATGGTGGATTACAATAATTACAAAATGTCGGCGAGCGAGGAGGATTTTGATCAACAATCACAGCAAGGAATGACCAAAGCAGAACTTAGAAGGGTATATATATATATACATAATTTTACATTCATCTTTAATTTTTTCTTTTTTTTTATTAATCTGCAGTATTCCCCGATAAACCACTCGTTACGAATAATTTTTCCCGACATTATTTTTCTTTTTATTTGATTTTTCTTTGCTACACAATTTACGCGGGAATCGTGTTTACACACACAACGTGATAGACGAATAATTTTCTCTTTTTTGATTACCATTAATTATTATTGTTATTAAAACAAATAATATACAAATTTCAGAACAACAAACCGATCATGGAAAAACGAAGACGAGCACGAATAAATCAATGCCTGGACGAATTAAAAAATCTTATTCTCGAAGCGTTAAAAAAAGATGTAAGTAGAATCACTTAAGATATATATTATAATCTACATTATTTTTAGAGTGATATTATTTAAGATATTATTTATTTTCATGATAGAAGAAAATGTAGAAAATTACGAGGAAATGATAAAGAGTATTATTTAAGAAACGTTTTTTTTTTTATAGTTGTAATATTACAAACAAAAATCGAACCGTGTTGGACAGTGGAAATTCTATTCGTCCTTGTAGATGGCCGTAAAGTTTTGGTCCTTTTCGTTCGTTTTCCAATAGATTGTCCTTTTGTTTGCGGAAGTTTTTAAGGCTGACCTTTCACGGAGTCTTTTTAGTACCACGAAATTATAGCTTTTAATCTTATACGTCGTTGCGATTGGATTCACTTATCGCGCGCACACAAACTTACGTTTCTTTCATTGATCGAGTGATTCACAGACATGCGACAGTACGATTATTATTATTTAAAAATGATATAATAATATTTTCTAAAAGTTATTTATTCATTGTCTTTTCACGTATGATATTTAGATTACTTTAATGAAACTAAATGAACTTAGAACTCTCATAATAAACGACAACATCAGCAAAGCGATCCAATGATATTACGAGATTACTGCTCATCGTTGTGTGTCATTCTCCCCACTCTTATTTCATTACTACGTCGTAGGTGTATAAGAGAATTCGAAATTCACAAAATCCTAGATTATTCTAGGTTAACGATTATGATTCAAAATTAGCAGTACTTATAAATGTTTGTATTTGGATTATTGATAGAGTCTGTTCGAGATCGAGCAATAAACGTATTTTCACAATTTCAAGTAAATTATAGTTGATTAGCGTAATGAGTTGGCTAGAAAATATATAAATAAACGAGCGATAAAGATAAAGGACACATCGTTTTACGGTGTAGATTGGAAAGTAGAACATTATAATAATATTATTTTGTATTATATTCCTTTGTATGGAAAAAAAAGTTGTTTGTGCAATACATGAAATTGTATATTGTATATATATTGCAACATTATTATTATATTATACTTGTTATAATATAAGAATGGAAGAGACGACAAAAAAAATCATATAAAATTATATACATATATACGATTAATAACAGAGAATAAATTCAATTCAATTTAGGGATTACGATTGAAATCATATCGAAATTGCGATAAGATTAACGATTTCTTTGAAAAGTAAATCAAAGGGTTTCAATTTCATTTATAATCATAACGCGTGATCTAGCGATCGTTAGGAACGTGCAATGTACGCTCAAATTTAAGTTCTTAAATATTACAAAAAAGAAAAAAACAAAATAAGAGGATCGAAACGTTTTTTTTTAAATAGAACTAATATAAAAAAATTCATAATATTGTTTCACGTAATAATTAATTCAATTCTAATTATCTTGATGGAATCATAATTTTTTAGATAATTATTATAATGTGGATAATAAGACAACTCAGATCTATGTCGTTATCGTTGAAAGTAATTCGTATAATGGATTCGAAATAAAAGTATTTGATAAAGCCTTTCGAAAAATCTTTCTTCATTTTTTTCTTCTTCTTCTTCTTCTTTATTTTCTTATAACGTCCGTCCACAACGCCATCCGTTTAAAAACTTTGGTCCAGAACCACTCGTTGGAATTGGTTTTGTCTTAAGATTTTACTTATTTAAAAGCGTGGGAATGAATAGTATAGGAAGGGGGACCCTTTAACAAAGCAAACAAACCTGATCGTTCAAATATACCGGGCTCAATTATAATTAAAATTATATCGAAGACACATAATACGAAAATGTTCCTTATTCTTATTAATCATTTAAATCTATAATAATTAACGATCCGTGCAATTTTTGTTATTTGCAATTATTTATTACCAAGAACGTTTCCTGTTATAACGAAAAAAAAAAAAAAGGGTGGGTGGAGGGTGTTTGGGTTATTATGTCTCGTTTCGGTTAGGGTTAAAATAAGAAAAGAAAAAGGATGAAAAAAGAAGAAGAAGACGAAGAAAGAAAAGAAAAAAAATAACAAGAGAAAATGAAAAAGGATGCATCCCGTTGGCAACTTCCTCGATTTCACGTAAAAGAAGGAAGATCCTGGCAGTTCTCCCTCCACCCCGCCGCGTAACACGATCCTTCAAGATTGATTTCTCAGACAGGCTATGTAACAAGGCGAGACGCTCTCACCGTTCTCTCTTCTCTTTCGTCCAGATGACTTCCGCTACCTGCTTACCTCCGTTGTCTGTCCGTTCAACACACACACACACACACACATATACTCTCTCTCTCTTTCTCTCTTTCTCTTTTTGTCTTTCTCTTTCTTTTTTCTTCTCTTGAGTATATATATATATATCTCTCTTTCTTACATATACACTTTCGTCCATACGAAACGCCCCCCGCGTTCGTGGGAACCACGAAATAATTATTACCAAGGGCAAAAAAAATCTCATCTCAGGTTCCAGTCTCCCTTTTGTTGACCGTATCATCTTTAAGGATCCACCTTCACGTTCTACGCGAAAAAAAAAGAGGAAGACGAGCTGTTTTCTTCCTTCCCTGGTTTGCTTTGCTTTAGCAGGTGCACCACGGTCCGTCCGGAAATCGAATTTGGAAAATTGTAACTTTTTCATTTCAATTGTTGAATCGACTTTTTCTAATATATTAATTATTTCAAAGAGTATCCTGATAAAAGAATATCTATTAATATTACGTATGTGAAAGTGTTTCTATGATCTGTGATATTGTTGACAAATAAACCGAGCTTAGTTGTTGTCGAACTGTGAGAGTACCTTGAATCGTCAGAAATTTTCGAAAATAAAACCATAAATTATGAATGGATTCATATCAATGGGACGAAAGGATACAATAGAGTTTCGACTTAACTGTGTTAAAGGGCTTCTTTTCGAATAATATAACTCGCTCTCGAATAGCAGGTTTTCTAGTAGAATCCTAAAACCTTCTTAGGGATATATTCTTCAAATGTGTTCCCATGAGAAGATCAATTTCACTCGATCCCACAGTTTTTCCAAGACCTTTTTTTCCTAGATCGATCTGATTTATTTAATGTTCTTTTTCTTTTTCTTTTTTTTAGTTACTTTTTAATGTATATTAAATATAATACATATATAGACTATTAATTGTATAATCAGGTGATAACGATAAATAAAGATCTTTCATGACTGTACAATAAATAATCTCGATTATTGCTCCAGAATGCAGTTAATAGTCACGTACGACATTGGCGATATTACAATTTAAAAATATTGCTGAATCTAAATCACATGCTTTAGTGCTCACAATAAAATAAGTTGTAAGCTACTGACGTTTCAGGTCTCTCATTATGGTAATAACTTAGGTAGACTCAATTACATGGGCGTTGCCTGGTCATTGCTTTGATATATGATCGGTATTCGCCTTTTATATCTAAGAGCGATGCTCGAGGCAGAAATGTTTACTGATCTCCGAAGAGACATTGTATTTTCTATGAGTGTTTTTAAATTACTCGTCTTACCATCAGTTGATAATATAGATACCTGCTAGCACGACGTAACATACTGTTCTTTTTCTGGCTACCAACCAACGGTAGTACTTATCTATTATCGATAAAATATCATTAATCGATAAGATTAAAGAATCTCATCTCTTGTAAGAGTCTATTAACAAAAAAAAGGAAGATAATTTTTTAATTTTTTCAAAAAGTTATTTTTAATTGAAAGATTTAAAATACAAATATATTCTAATGAAACGATTTTGTTTGTTCTTATAGCCGACGAGACACTCAAAGATCGAGAAAGCCGATATTCTCGAGATGACCGTGAAACACTTACAAACCGTACAGCGTCAGCAATTGAATACTGCAGTAGCAACGGACCCAGCAGTACTAACGAAATTCCGTTCCGGATTTTCCGAATGTGCTATGGAAGTATCGCGGTACGTCAGCAACCTAGAGAACGTCGATCCTGGTGTGAAACAGCGTCTGCTATCGCACCTGAACAATTACGTTAGTAATCTCCAGCAAATGGGACCGTTCTACAGCCATTACGTGCCCTACATGCCGGAACGTCTCTACCCGGAGGTAAAGGTCGGCTACCACAGCGATCTAGCCAATGGAGATGAGAATAATAATGCTAGTGCACGGATACAGATACCTAACGGTGTTCAGTTGATACCTAGTAGACTTCCGACAGGAGAGTTAGCACTGTTAGTTCCCCAATCAGCAGCAATGTCTACAAACTTTTCATTTTTCCCACCTATACCTGAATCAATATCTAGGACGATAGCATCGTCTGCTTTTTCATCGGTACAAAGAGCACGCAGTCCACTGGAAAGTCCGTCAACGTCTACGTCTAGCTTCGGTGAAGAAAATCCTCAAATGGAATGTTACCAGCAAACACATCAAAACACGAAATTCAAGGCCCCCGAACAAAGTTCCAGCAGCGGTAAAAGTTTTACCAGTTCACCGGAAACGCAAAAATTTCAGATCACTTCAACCAGCGACAGAAAATCACCTTTGTTATCGACGTCAATTGATATTAGACCAGGAATTCATGATAACAGAAGGAAAGAACAACAGATTCGTAGTTTTACCGAACAGGTGGATTCTATCGCTACGATGAGTAATTTACGACAACCACTTTCAGTTATCACCGATAGGGCATACAATCGTCCGTGTTCATCTCTAAGCAGCAACGATCTCAAAAGAACCGCTTCCAATAGGCTATTAATAATTCCTGAAAAAAGACAAAAAATAGATGACGAAACGTCGTCTTCATTCGTATCATCTAACGAAAAGAAAAATGTAAATGGTCATGGTGTTACCACAGAGGATCAAACAATAAACTCATCATCCTCGACTAGTTTTAATACAAATCGTTCTAATACCAATACCTCACATGTTTTTTCGAATTCTGCTGGTCCATCCTCATCGAATGGAGATATGTGGAGACCATGGTAGTCCGATCTCCATCTTGATTTGAAATAGATTGAATTGAAATGTATTTTTTTGTGATTTTTTTTTTTATTCTCCTTCAACAAAATGACGTATCAAAATCTTACATTATCATCGATCGTATTATCCAAGATTAGTATTTATAATTGATCTATAAATTCAAATGGGTTAACCCATAACGGTAGTAAGTTATCTTTTACGTGACAACAGTACTTTGTTGCTACGATCGTATGTAATGTGGGGATGACAAGACAGATCCTGTCAAAATTCATTGTCTGTGGGCACAGAAAATATGGGCACAATTGTCTTGTCAATTAAGCATCAGAAACAAAGCAATTAATATCTCCAGTAATATATCAATACCTTTCGTAGTCAATTTTCAATTAATTTAATCCGAACAATAAATAAAGAAAATTTTATAATTTTCGATAGTGATAATGGCATCAAATGTTTCAAAAATTATTCTCAAAGTGATTTTAATTCTAGTGATGAGACTAGTAATCACATCTTATTACATTCTAAAAAAAGAAAAGTTATACTTATAAAATATTACTTCATTTCGAGCAAAATAACAATATACTTTTGTGAAACGTGCAACAGAAAAGCATTCCTTCATGTTGTAAATTGTTTCAAAAAATATCGTACATTAAGAACTTATAAATAATTATTTAAAATTCATATATTTTCGTGTGACACTTTTTTACAAAAATAATTTTTAACATAAACGTTATAATAATACTGAAAACTTTTTCGAATATCTATCGAAACCAGCTGCAAATTAAGGAAAATCGTGTATAAAAAGTTAACGATCGATAAGGGTTAATTATATGTTTTATTTATATTTTTATTTACGTTATATGAGAGAATTGCGATTTTATTTATTATTTAAAATTAGTTCTTTTCTTTTCCTTATTACTAAAATTCTTTACCTCGTAATACATATAAAAAAAAAAAACAAAAGAGACAAAATTTTTATTACTATTTTATCATTATAATAGAACAATAATTTATTTCGATTTTGTGCCAAAAAAAAGACGAAAGGTTATTATTTCTTTCTTTTTTTGTGTGTGTGAACACACATGAGAAATCAAACAAATACTTTTCATGAGGATTTTATAAATATCAAAGTTGCCATTCAATTGTTAAATCGACAACCTACATTATAAGACTTAAGAGTCACTTAATTCATATTAACAATAAGCCTCGCTCGTGTACAATTCTGTAAATAGTTAACAATTTAATTTAACTTAATCATTAATTTAGGATTAACGAACGATGATTGAAATAAATCATAAATGTTTCTCGTTATAAGCGTATATAGAATTAAGAGTTTTGTGATACGTGTAGCATAATATTGAAATAAACTATTTGTAGAGAGTTGTACATTTGTTTATCAAATTAATGTCTCTTTTAATATCTCTAATAGGGTATATAGAGAAAATGTGAAAAAGAAAGTGGCGGGGTGGGGGATAGAAAGAAAGAAAAAAGGAAGATAAAAATAAAAAAGATAGAGAAAGAAAAAGGAAAAAAGAAAAAAAAAAAAGAAAAAAAAAAGAGAGAAAGAAAGAAAGAAAGAAAGAAAGAGAGAGAGAGAGAGAGAGAGAGAGAGTTTCGCATCGGCTTTGTTGAAAAAGTTATCGGGCGGGAGACGCTTTACCCTTTTAAGGAGCATTAAACGCGCTCCGGTTCATAAGCTGGAACTTATTCCTTCTTTTTTTGCTGATAAAGGAGTAAAAAGGTACAGGCGAACGAGAATTTCAACCACCTGTTACACCGCAAAACTACCCCTCGTTCTCTCATCGACTCAATGCTTGAACTGATTTATCGACAGAAACCTCGGATACTTCGCTGCTTTACTCTTATAAGCGTTATTCAAGAAATTCAAGTCAGTGTTTATCGTGTCTAGAGAAATAGTTTATTTTATTATCCTTCGTATCCGTTTCGTTGAACATTTATTTCTTTTTTTTTTTTTTTTTTAAAGACCAAAGAGGAAATTAAACGCTGCTAATTATCCACGGATACATTTCAACGATAAGTATCGATCAATAATAATGTATTAATTAATCGTTTATACTTTATATTCTTTTTATATATTTATATCGTACGCGCGTATTTTCTACGCGAGTATGAATGTAATTGTTGTTGTTGTTTTTTTTTCTCTTAAAAAAATAATAATTATATACGACGTAACTTTTCCAACAATTTATTTGAATCTAAAACGTTTGCTTTCAACGCAACCCGAGAGATGGCACCAGGAACGTCCGACGCAAATACTTGCCGCGATTTTTCAAATTATCCAACATACAATAGGACAGCATAGTTGACAGGACATCAATTTATTTAAATTACTCTACAGTTGTAGGGGTTCATTAGGATCATACATTGTGAAAACAGTAAGATGCAATATTCAATCGTTTCCGAGAAAACAAAGATTGAAGTTTCTCATGCATTCTTATATACATACCTGTTCGTTTCATGTTCGATGTAAAACATTCATGTATGTATATTTTTTTTATAATTTATTTGTCGATCTTAAACGAACTGGTATATAAGAATACATGTTAAACTTGTCCCTTTGTTTTCTTTGAAACGTTTAATTTTTTAGTCTTACTGTTTGCACGATGGTATGATTCTGATGAACCCTTATGATTATATAGAATTAAAAAAAAATCGCTATTCTATCAACTTGGTTTTCTCCTCGTTAATGAATACTAAATTAATTATCAATATTTTTCATATAAAAATCGTATTGTTAACACTTTAGAATAAAAACTAAAAAATATAATGATAGTATTAAATCTTAATTAAAACTAACTTTAAAAGAGATCTCTAACAAAGATAAAAAAAACTTATTTATATAAATTATAATCGCAGCAATACAGAATGTACTAAAAATTGTATATCAATTAGCTTTAACGTTCGTTAGAAAATACACGAATCTAGTATATTACGAAGGTTGATTATCGATCGAAAGGATTAAATGAAAGAAAAAGACGGACGAAGTATACACTCGATTAAAATGAACTAGAGACTCGATGATGTCAAAAAAAAAGAACCAAAGAGAGAGAGAGAAAGAGAGAGAGAGAAAAGAAACGACGAAGAAATTTGTGCAACAAGGAGACGGGACAAATTCGTTATCCAGATCGAAAAATAAAGATGATAAGTGTAATAAGAAAAGAGAGTAGGAAAAAAAAAACAAGAAAAATACAGACAAAAAAAAAGTAATAAAAAGAAAAAAGATATATATATATATAAAAAAAAAAAAAAAGAATGTTTTACTAAGAGCGCGAAGAAATCTCCTCCGGGGTAGGTACATCGATCTGAGAGAGAGTAGCTCGTTGGTGGATGCGTGGCATCGAAGTCGCCCGATTCGTGCGTGCAGATTGGAGATTAATATCAAGTCCTGTACGTCTCTCCAACCAGGGAGAGATATTCTTCACGCACACGTCGAACCAAACTCTCATATCCTTCGTTCTCACGCATTCATGAACGCATTTATGTATATAGATATATATTCACGCACATAGATATACGTATTACTCCTATAGATTCTTCTACGTTGTAGACACAGAGAAAGAGAGAGAAGGAGAAAGAGAGAGAGAGAGAAAGAGATAGAGAATAACCCGAAGTACGAAAGCCAGTGTGCGCTATATCACAGAGTATAAATAATTACTCCGGCGCACAGCGATTACTATAAGTTATGGCATAGCCGGGACAATTTGCAATGTCAAGACATAAACACTACTACCGCTTACATTTGAATACATTAAGTGCCGATGGTAGACTCCGATTGGACATTGGAGAGTTAGAGAGAAGGAGAAAGAGAGATAGATAGATTGTAAGCTAAGTGAGAGACTAAGGAATAAGAGAAAGAGAGTAATAGTAGTAGTAGTAGAAGTAGTAGTAGTAGTATAGTAATAGTGATAGTAGTGGTGGTAGTAATCGGTAGCGTGAGATACGATCCGGTTGACGATTTTTATTAGAATGAAACGATCATCTCTCTCTTTCTCTCTCTCTTTCTCTCTCTCTTCGAAAGGCACACGATATCTCGAGAGATGGCAACGATGGCGGCGTCCATTTCGATCGGATTCCATCCTTTTCGATGACCGACCCATCGGATTCGACGATGTATTTACGAGACTACGAGATCGAGCTGATCGTCCCGGAGTGGTCAATTGTTTCGAGTAGAAGGGATGAAAGATAAAGAGAGAGATAGATAGATAGAGATAGTGTGATAGAGAGAGTGAGAGAGCGGGAAAGAGAAAGGGGAAGAGAGAGAGAGAGAGAGAGAGAGAGAGAGAGAGAAAGATAGAATTCCACGGGACGTGTTCTCGCTGCCGCAAGATGGATCGTGCTCGTAACCGAATGCAGATGGGATTCTTGGTGGACTTGTGGATATATACCCGATTTGGAGACTAACTGGAAGGATAGAGAGATAGAAAAGGATAACTATCATCGACGAGAGAAACGAGTGTTCGGCCAATTAAGGTCTTACGAATCGAATAGTTTCCTTCATTCGTCCAAAGTAACGTTTAACGATCGATGGTATCCAATGAAAAGTATCCAACAGTCTTAAACATTTAAGAATGTCCAATTTCTCAGTTCTTATATGTACTTATATATATATAAATCGATGAAAAAGTTGTCTTTTGAAAATAGATTAGGCTCGATCTTTGAGAAAAAAGTTATGGTTGTAAACCATCGCGGTGGTGTACGTTCTGTTTCCACTGCGGTGGACCAGCCAGACGAAACGGTTGCCCAACAGGAGATATAGCAATCGGTGAGCGTTTTTCGGTTGCCAATATTTCGATAGGTATTCGAACAAGAGCGTGAAAGAGAGGAAGGAGAGGTAAAGAGAGATAGTAATGGAGAGAAAGAGAGAAAGAGAGAAAGATAGAAAGAGAGAGACGGAGGGTCCACAAGCCGTGGACTATGTGCGGCTGCCAGGCCATTTGCCTCTGCGGTCTCTTGATTCCTAGCGACTAAATTTTCATCTGTACTCATTCAAGTTTTAATGTGTTTTTGCGGCATCAGTCATTCAAACTTAATCAACAACCGGTTACGCGTCGGTCTGCGCGCGTGCGACGTCACTCGCGTGTTGTTAGAGACCCTTGCCTCTGTATGTGTACGTGCGTACGTTTCTACGTATTTGTTAACATCCTCCAACATATTGATATATACACAAATATATACACATGTGTATATATATATATATATATATATATGTAGATAAATGTGTGTGTGTACGCGCACTTAGATATATGTTCGTGTATTGTATCTACACGTATACGTGTATGTGGGGGACACTCGTCCCACGGAATATTGGTCGAAGCGCGCGCTCTGTGACGAGAGCGTATTAATTATAACTCTGGTCAGAGAAACGTCAAGAGATGCTTTCGCAGATACCTACGATAAATTGTCGGTTTACCAGCAAATCTCATTTCCAAACCCCGCCATTTTTCCGCTCGTTTGTCCACGCCTATGTTTCACGTCGGTTCTACGAAACGCACGGACCTTTTACTTTCCTTTTTCTACTTTTGCTAATGAAAGACACCCCTCTTACATAGACACAACTTATACACACACACACACACACATACACAATTGACTTTAATCCGACAAAAGTTGCCTAAACGTTAATGAGAACGTCAGCTTTAGCAGCTATCCTCCTCCTATCGAGCATTAACCAGCTTATTTCTCTTCTTTATCGTTTTTCTATCATATTCGATACTTTTTATCGATTTTCATTTCTAGTATCATTTTGATGTCAAACAAATTTATCAATTTTGTTCTTTGGTAGTTGTGATAAAATATTCTAATGCTTGTAAATTGCTACTGTATAATGTTGAGATAAATCACGGATATGTATTAGTAATGTTCGTGTAATAATAGCGTAAAATGTGCGTTTGCTAAAAAAAAAAAAAAAAAACAAAAAACACGATCGTTGATATTCATATCTTTTTCTCTTATTCTTCGATTTTCACATTTCTCCGTCTCGATGTTTTAGTTTGGGATTTATTCCGTGACGGATTAGTCGCTGCTTCTTTTATTAGTTTCATTCAAAGGTATTGGTTCGTTAATCCGTTTGTTCTTTTATTATTTTGATCACACAGAATGGAAATTGGAACTGGTCGGACCCATCGCGGACCAATTTTCTCTCTCTCTTTCTCCTATTTTCTTTCCCTTTCGTTCCGCAATTCGCAAATTATCAGGTAGCCATTAATATCGACACCGTGTATCTATCGTTGCTCCGGAGGAGAAAATAATGTTTATTTTTTATTTATTTATTTATTTATTTATTTTAGTTTATTTTTTATTCATCGCGAGAAAAATATTCATCATCGACCCAAGTTACGATACTTAATTTCTCTTTTAGTGTGT